GCTAAATTGTCCCATAGTGTCCAGGGATGTGCAGGTTAGGGTGGATTAGCCGTGCTAAAATGCCCCATAGTGTCCAGGGATGTGCAGGTTAAATGGGTTAGCCATGGGGAAATGCAGAGTTATAGGGTGGGGGTGGATGTGGGTGGGATGCTCTTCGGAGGGTTGGTGTGGACTCAATGGGCTGAATGGCCTGATTCCACACTGTAGAGATTCAATGACCACACACTGTGTGCAGTTTTGGTCCCCTAGTCTAAGGAAGGACATTCTTACTATTGATGGAGTCCAGCGAAGGTTCACCAGACTGATTCCCGGGATGGCAGGACTGACATATGAGGAAAGATTGGATCGACTGGGCTTGTACTCACTGGGATTGGGAAGAATGATGGAAAATCTTATAGAAACATATAAAATCCTCATGTGACTGGACAGGCTAGATGCAGCAAGAACGTTCCTGATGCTGGGGAAGTCCAGAACTCGGGGTCACAGTCTAAGAATAAGGGGTAATCCATTCAGGACTGAGATGAGGAAGAATTTATTCACTCAAAAGAGTTGTGAACCTGTGGAGTTCCTATTTTCTACGTTGCTATGAGCTCCATATTGTCTATGACCAAACAGCATCTCAGTGCACAATTCACGGCACCAGGTGCACGCACCCCTCACCATGGATGTTAGTCTCTGGCATTTGCCAGTCATTATGGCATCCCTGATCCATACAAACAAGGATCTATAGTTACTCAACCTTTTGAGCCTCCTTTGTCATTCAATAAGACCACGGCTGATCTGATTTTAACTTCATCTCTGCATTCCCACATATTGCTGACAATCTTTCATCCACTTGCAGGACATTTCATGAGTGGGCCTCTCAAACTTCGAATCTAATGTTGATCTCGCTCTTTGTGCACCATCGTTGCAGCCTTAATTTTGTGTTCCTCGCTCTGTTCCGTCACCCTACAAACTTTGTATGGTAATGATCTGCCTGCACTGCACGCAAAACAAAACGTTTCACTGTACTTAGGTACACACAACAATAATAAATTGAATCAACTCAAAACTAGGAAGCAAAAAGTTGCATTGCAGAGTGCAACAAGAAACATTGGAAGGCTGCAGAGTGACCCAGCCCAAGCATTGCGTCAGGGTGCATCTCAAATCTGCAGGTAGCATCCCTGCCTCATCTTGCCCATTAGCACCTCTGTCAGATCCAAAGACTAACAGTCCTGCCATATTAACATCCTGCTTTGTGCAGACACCCAGACAGGGCTGCTTGTTATCTTGGCGGATGGCACATCACCAAGACATCAGTTATCAGCTACAGCAAATGCCTACACCTCAAACGCACCGCTCATGCATTTAACCAAATGGCCGAGGCTGAAAGTGGGCAGGAGCTGGTCCTCAGTCGAGTCGGAGATGGAAGGGGGTCTGTCAGTCAGTCAGAGGGTGGTCTAGCACCCTCATTTCAGGGCACAGTCCACAGGCTTGGATTATATCAAATCTCTACAGTTTGGAGGCCAGCCATTCGGTCCATTGAGTCCACACTGCCCCTCTGAAGAGCATCCTTTGCAGGGCCCACCCTCCCCTACCCGCCCCTACCCTATCCCTGTAACCCTGCACATCCCTTGGCTAATCCACCCTAACTTGCACATGCCTGGGCACTATGGGGCAATTTAGCACGGCCAATCCACCCTAACCTGCACATCCCTGGGCACTATGGGGCAATTTAGCACAGCCAATCCACCCTAACCTGCACATCCCTGGGCACTACGGGGGCAATTTAGCACGGCCAATCCACCCTAACCTGCACATCCCTGGGCACCATGGGACAATTTAGCACGGCCAATGCACTCTAGCCTGCACATCTTTGGACTGTGGGAGGAAACCGGAGCACAACCCACGCAGACATGGGGAGAACGTGCAAACTTCACACAGTCAGTGACCTGAGGCTGGAACCGAACCCAGGTCCCTGGCGCCGTGAGGCAGCAGTGCTAACCACTGGGCCACCGTGCTGCCCCAGTTGTGGTCAGTCATCAGACCCTCACTGTCAGGGATGTGTCAGATTGCAGCTCAGGGAGAGGGTAACAGACAGTCCTGTAGGGCCATTGGCAGCAGTCTGAGAAATTGCTTATCCTCAGTCAGGGAGCTGTAATGACAGTCAGCAACGGTCTCTCAGTCATGTCCAGAAGCTGTTCATTGAAGCCAGACAGAGATGTGGGGCAAATACAGTCCTGGGCATCTGTCAGGCTGTCATTAAGGAGGATGCAACTGGAGTCTATATAGGGGCAGCAGAGGGATGACTGTCAAAAGGGGTGGGGAGTCAAGGCTGGGAGAGGCAGGGGCATTTAAGGAGGTAATGGGGAAAACCCAATTTATATGGGGGGATATGGAAGAACATTAGACGGCATGGTAGAGCAAGGGAGAGGGTGCTATTAGCGGTGACCACTACTGCAATCTCCACAGGGGGGGGAGAGTAGAGGGGCAGGGTTGGTATAATGCCAGGTCTCGGGGGCAGCTGGAAGTGAACTTCAATATGGTTGGTCTCCACCTGGAAGAGAATGGACGGAAAAAGTCAAAGAAGGCCCAGGAAGCAGAGGGAGCAACTAGCAACCGTGCAGAGTCTGCCATTGTTGGTATGCACCACAGACTGTGTCCCTTGCCATCATTTACAGTTCTCTATTTGCAAAATGCAACTGGGAAATGGCTGGGTGGGCACAGTCAGCCAACTTGATGGGTGAAAGCTGTCTGTTTTACATTAGGGGCATAGAAGGGGCAAATACATAAAGCAGGATGTGCGCAAATTCCAACTGCAGTTAATTTGCAAACATTTTCTTCACCGGGACGCAGAATGAGCTGCTCATGGTCTGAATGCTGGTCAAAGGTGGATTGCGCCAATGCTGATGGCGCTGGCCAATGAACGTTGTTCTCCCAGTGATACAGGAATTAGCGGCAAGGACTTAGAAAAGGGAAGTGAAAGCTGGCCAAAAGTGCTGCTCAATTTGAGGAACTCCCCAAGGGAGCTGTGGAACGAGGTGAGCGTGTAAGAGTATCCACATCAATGCAGTGGAAAGTGGAATGATTGTTGTGCATCTGCGATGAGATGGAGAGGTGGCGAACTGCAGCAGGCACTTCCTTATGGATGTAATGCGTTGGCCACCCAGCCACTTCCAACAAGCTGGTGCACATCTTGTGACCAGGGCTCTGTGGTGGAGCAGATGATGGAGGGGGAGGGGGCAATGGGCTGCTGAAGGTACAGCTCTACAGCCTGGAGCGGTGTTGGGGGTGGGGTGAGGGAGACACGTCTAGGATCGCTCCCCACCCCCCCCACCACTCCCAAATACCTCGAGTCAGTCGCATTATCCCCGGCACACTGTGCTCCGCACAATTGGAACACACGACGGAGTGACCTGATAGATGGCTGAGGAACAGGAAAATGGAAGCAGTCATCCGATGAGCTGGAAGAAACTCTTTTTGTGGGTTTCTGGAGGTCAGCTGCATTGGGGACCCCAGGGCTGACAGGACCTGATTGACACACGTTTCCAGGAGATAACTGGTGCAGCAGATCATCATGGAGTGTCAGAGTCAAAATGCCAGCAATTGGTTTGCATTATAGATGCAAACTGCGCATGTTTTTTTTTGTGTTCTCTTCTGTTGGCTGTTAATAAGAACTTGTATTTGGATGTGGGTACAATTATTTGGTGGAGGCGATGGCCTAGTGGTATTATCGCTGGACTGTTAATCCAGAGACCCAAATAATGTTCTGGGGACCTGGGTTCGAATCCTGCCATGGCAGATGGTGGAATGTGAATCCAATAAATATCAGGACTTAAGAATTTAATGAAGAGTGTGAATCCATTGCCAATTGTTGGGGGGAAAAACCCCATCTGGTTCACTAATGCCCAAATGGGAAGGAAACTGCCATCCGTACCTACATAGGACTCCAGATCCACAGCAATGTGGTTGACTCTGAACTGCCCTATGGGCAATAAATGCCAATAAATGCTGCCTAGCTAGTGACACCCTCATCCCGTGAATGAATAAAGAAAAAGAATAATTACAACATTTAAAGGCATTTGGATAAGTACATGAATGGGAGAGGTTTGAAAGGATATGGGCCAGGAACAAGCAGGTGGGACTAGTTCAGTTTGGAATTATGTTTGGCATGGACTGGACGGGCCGAAGGGTCTGTTTCCATGCTTTATAACTATAACCCTATGGTGTTCCTCTCCTGGAAATTCACAAGATGCAAGTTGGTATTGGGGAAAGACTAATGGGGATGCAGAGAGGGTGTTCAGATGGTAGGTATCTAAGGACACTGTTCCCCCATCAAACACTCCCAGGACAGCGACAGCACGGGGTTAGATATAGAGCTATAGAACAATACAGCATCTTCCCACTGATACTTTTTCACAATTTGCCTGTTACACAACCTCAGGACATCCCAG